GAAATCCTGGCCTGACAGTGTCTCTGGTGTGGCGTGGCAGGAGTGAGCAGCGGCCAGGAAAATGGCAAGGTCTGGAGCGTGGCTAGCACAGTGCGGTTCCGTGTGGACCGCAAAGACGATGGCGGTATTGTCATCTGTGAGGCACAGAATCAGGCGCTGCCCTCTGGACACAGCAAGCAGACGCAGTATGTGCTGGATGTGCAGTGTAAGTGCCCAGCAGGCAGGGTCCTGGGGGGGTCCCCACACCAGCCACCCTCCAGCATGATGGGGAAACCACTCCTCCTTCTTCCTTCTGCTCTCAGATTCTCCCACAGCCCGTATCCATGCCTCCCAGGCCGTGGTGAGGGAGGGAGACACGTTGGTGCTCACGTGTGCTGTCACGGGGAACCCCAGGTGAGCTCTAAAGCCCAAGACTCCTATCCTTAGAAGAGGGATAGGGACATAGACACCTGAGTCTCAGGAATGAACAGCCTCAGCGAACAGGACTTGGGGTTCAGACTTCTGAGTCCAGAAGGAGAAGAGGGTCTGGGGACCCGTATCCTGGATCCCAAGGAAGGAGGCTCTGGAGCCCCAGGCTCTTGGGTTCTCAGGATGCAAGGGTGACAATAGAAGCTGGGCCCAGGACTTGGTTTTCCAAAAAGGAAAGAGCATGGTGACAATGGAAGCTGGGCCTGGGACTTGCTTTTCCAGAAAGCAAGGGGCTAGTGGGAGCCTCTTAACTGGAGGTCTGGGCGGGGTTAGCTGCATGTCTAGAGAATTCTGAGAAGCAGACTTGGGTGCTGGCATGGGGTCCTAACTTTGCCTATAATTTACCCCTGCCCAGGCCAAACCAGATCCGCTGGAACCGTGGGAATGAGTCTCTCCCAGAGAGGGCCGAGGCTCTGGGGGAGACTCTCACGCTGCCTGGCCTAGCTTCAGCGGATAATGGCACCTACACTTGCGAGGCGTCCAACAAACATGGTCACGCGAGGGCGCTCTACGTGCTGGTAGTCTATGGTGAGCGCAGGCTGCGGCATGCCTGGGGGCGGGACTCAGGGCAGGGGCAGGGCGTTTAGGGGCGGGGCTTGGGCAAAGACTAGTGGTGAAGAACTTGTAGTAGACTTATTACAACTGGGGGGCCAGACGGGGTTCAAATTCGGCTCTGCCTACTTTCCTCCTGGGTAAAGTGGAAATAGACAATATCCCCCACCTCACTGAGTGGTTGTTAAGATTTTATGAACTAAATATGTTAAGCGATTGGAATGCCCCCCCACCCGCACAACATAGGTTGTATGTTTAGCACTTATTACCCTATAACAGGCCCCAGCTGAGAACTTTAAATACCCGGAGCATTTTAGGCGAAGTGGGAAGGGTCCTGTTGCTTGCACATTCTCTGGTGGGGGAAGGTGTCCTCTGCAGGACTGAGTCAAAGAAAAGGGATATACTGTCTCTATCCTCTGGGGAATGGAGGAAGAGGTGGGAGGGAGGGCAGGAATTGGGATCAGGCAATGTACAAAACAACAAGTATTCTTAAAGGAAGGGACATCTGGAAAGAGGGGAACCATGAGAGGGGACTACAAGGTAGCAGTAATTTTGAGGGGCAGGGTACATAAGGAGAGAGGTTATAAGCAGTGTGAGCTTAAGAGTTTGGCAGCGATGGAACCATTCTCTGATGACCTGGGCCTGCTCCGTCTCTCTGGCAGACCCTGGTGCCGTGGTAGAGGCTCAGACGTCGGTTCCCTACGCCATTGTGGGCGGCATCCTGGCACTGCTGGTGTTTCTGATCATATGTGTGCTAGTGGGCATGGTCTGGTGCTCTGTACGACAGAAGGGTGAGTGGGGGCGGGGCCTGAATTCAAGGAAGGGTGTGTGGGTTGTGGGATTCGGAAGGGGCGGAGCCTAGAGCTCAGATTCAAAAGAGGGCGGGCTTAGAGGCAACGTGAGGGGGTGGGGCCTCAACCTAGCTTCGAAATCAGGCGGAGATTCCAAAGGGGTCGTCTTGGTCTAGGACTCTGAAAAGGGTGAGATTTAGAAGCCCAATTAAAGGCAGGGATTTGAATAAAACAACTTATCTTCCTTATTGCTGGATTCATTGGGAGCACAGCAAGGGCACACCACCAAGCATAGGGCTAGGGTGGATCTTTCCATGAACTTTTGGAGCCTTCCTAATTCTGCTTTTACCTCCTTCTCTGCCACTGTTTTGCTCGTCACCGTTGCTATTCCCCGTCCTGTATGTTCCATTTCTCCCTCCTCTTTCACTGGTGTCTGTCTTGTTTGTCTTCCTATCTCCATATATTTCTTTACATCTCCTGGACCCACATGTATGTCCCCACTGCCCTGGGGTCTGTCACCCCTCAGGCTCCTATCTGACCCACGAGGCCAGTGGCTTGGACGAGCAGGGAGAAGCAAGAGAAGCCTTCCTCAATGGCAGTGACGGACACAAGAGGAAAGAAGAATTCTTCATCTGACCCTACCCCCACCCCAGGCCTGGACCTAGGCTGGGGTCCCCCCACTGCCAGCTGCAAGGAACCAGCAAAGACATTTACCAGAGTCTGGGATGGTGGGCTTCTCCCCCTCACCACTAACACCTCAGACGCTTGGGCAGGGATGGGGGTGTTGGATGCCTGGCCAGAAGTGAGGGCCCAGAGGTCTGGGTCCTCCCCAGGCAGGGGCCAAAGGTCCAGATCCCCCAAGTCCAGAGAGGGCAGTAGGGATTGGGTTGGGGGAAGATAACTGGGGGAAGGCCATGGCCCTCAGGCTACAGAACCAGGTCTTGTGGGGAGGGGGTCAGATTCTGGGAACCGTGGGGTGGGCAGGGAAGGGGAACACAGATTTCTTTGGGGATCCCAGACCCCACGCCAGCCATTGTAAGAGTTCCACAGAGCTCTGGGCACCTCTTTGCAAAGCCATGTTTGCACGGTGGGAGGAGGGGTGGGGGGAGGGTTTGGAAACAGGGATTCTGTGTCTTTGTGTCATAACTTTGATGGGGGCAGTGAGGGAGACAGCCCCGACCCTTATCTCCAACCCCGCTTCCCCAGGTTCCTGGGCTCCCCTTCCCTCCACCTCCTCCTCTACCCCTGTCCCACCCATATTTGTCTTTCCACCCACTCCTGGGGGGGCCTTCCCCATCTCTCCTCCAGGCCCCCCGGGGAGAGGGAAAGGAGTTTGGGGGGATGTGTGGTCTCTATGGTTTTATATATAATATATTAAAAAAATCAAAAATCTGTATGAAAATATCAGATTGCACCCCTCCCCCCACTCCTGGCTTTTGGCCCCTTTTTCTTGTTTTAAAAAACACACACATTTTTGTACGGGGCGGGGAGGGGAACTGGGAGGGGGTTTGGCAATCCCACTAACCACCATTAAACTGAGGAGAGAACAAGTGTTGGGGTGGCTGTGTGTCTGTCACTCTGACATTAATCTCCAGGGAAACTTTCACTTGCATCTCATCCTGTCCCTGTCCTGCTCAAAACCTCTCCTTAGCTAGATCAATCAAAGCCCTTTAGTCTAATATCTCATTTATCTAAATTGTAGATGTATTATTTGAACTTTAGATTACAATATAACCGCTTACCAAAAAAAAATAATAACCTCTTACAAACCAGGGTGTGTGCCTGTAGGCTCAGCTACTCTGAAGCTAAGTAGGAGGATTGTCTGAGCCCAAGAGTTCAAGACCAGCCTAAGCCTTAAAAACAAAACTAGGGGCTGGGGTTGTGGCTCAGTGGTAGAGCACTTGCCTAGTATGGTGAGGCACTGGGTTTGATCCTCAGCACCACATAAAAATAAGTAAAATAAAGGTCCATTGACAACTAAAAAAAAAAATTAAAAAACAAAACAAAACAACTAACCTCCATCAATGTGCCAGGTGTTGCTTAAATTCTGTAAAGTTCAGGGTGAATAAGACAGGCAAATGCTAGGTATTATAGGTAGTTTAGCATGTAATGCCAGATTCGTGGGACCCCAATAGACCTCCAGGAGCAGAATCTGATGCAATCACACAAGAGTCGTTATTGCAAGCTGGAGCCTGGACTCACAACCATTCCACACATTCACTGGCAGGAACAAGTTGGGTAGGGGTGATTGGTTAGTACAAGAGGGGGATTCCTTTGAACTGACTGGTTTAAGCCACGAGGGGAATACATGCTAAATGACAGGGTTTCCCAACATGTTATCAACTACCATAAACTACTGGGGGGTCATCTGGCATCCCAAATATTTTCCCTGTCTCATGCTGATTGGTGGTTGCTAGGGGGTTACTATGGGTCCTCACCTAGCTTGAGTCAGGTTGCAGATCTCTCCTGTTATTTGCATTCAAACAACTCAGCAGGGTGGGTATGTGCCTAGGAGTGCTCTGTGGGTTTTTCCAAGGACAAGGGTCATGCCCCCTTCCTTGGACAAGCTTTGAGGTAGAAGCTTTTTTCAAAAATGGAGTCACATCAGTTTTTCAAGCACCAATCTGAAGTTTGATCCTGCTCTAGGTACTGAGCACCTAAAATGAAGACTCCATTTTTACCCTCATGAAGCTTTCCTGAGGAAAACATACTCTAACTGAGGAATTATACAATGTCAGATTGTGATAAGGACCATTAAAGAAAAATTGTAGCTGGGCCTGGTGATACCGCTGGTTACCAGTAACACTATAGAAGCACGCGAGGCAAGCATATAAAGCAGGGTTTATTTAAAAGGGTAACATAGACCTCTCCTTGGAGGGAGCAGGGGGCCATAGCTGGTATCCTGGTATCCCCAGAAGCAAGGGTGTTCTGCCTTTTTTTAATAGCTCTTAGGCTTCCTTTGTTCTCCTGCTCTCTTTTCCTTATCTCTCTCCTTCCTGCCTATGTGACTAGGCCCAGGAGATGCTCAATGAGATGGCCAAAAGGTGAGAAGCAGGTGGGCTAAGTTGGAGTGATCTGGGCTGGAAGGGGGTGTGATTAACAACTCCCTGTAGGGACAGGTTACCTTAACAACAGGTTTGAACAGGGGCAGGTTATCTTGATAACAGTGAAGGAAGGGCTCTAAAGGCATTAGCATTTTTAAAAAAATATTTATTCTCAAGTTTTAAGTGGACACAATATTTTTATTTTACATCTATGTGGTGCTGAGGATCAAACCCAGTGCCTCGTGCATGCTAGGCAAGCGCTCTACCACTGAGCCACAACCCCAGCCCCCTCCCCCTGCATTAGCATTTTAATAGCTCTCCAACTTTCTGGACTCAAATTGGCATCCTTGATCCTACCTAACTCAATTTACCTGTCTATACTGACTGCCTGTCTAATTCTGGCTTCAATGGTGGCAGAGCTATTCAGGAGGCTGAAGCAGAAAAAGCCCAAGTTCTAGGTCGGCTGACAACTTAGGGAGACCCTGTCTTAAAATAAAGAATAAAAAGGGCTGGGGATGTGGATCAGGAGTAAAATGCTTCTGGGCTCAATTCCCAGTACCACCAAAAATAAATTTAAAAAATAATATGTAGAGATGTGCAGTACCATTTTAACATGTTACTATGAAAACTTCAACTATACAGCAGTAGAGAGAACAGGCCATGAAGTCCCATGCACCTTTCGCTCCAGTTTCAACAAACAACTCAAGGCCAGTCTTGCTTTGTTCAAACTCCAATCTGAAGATGCTGTTATAATCAGGGAAAGGCTCTTAAGTTGACATGTGTTTCAAGATAGGAATTGTGAGCACAGCTATTAAAAGATCCGATGGAAAAGCATTTTCAGGCAAAGGGAACAGCAAGATCAAAGGCGCAAGATGGTAAAGAGATTGGCTATCTAAAGTCAAGTGGAGCTAGACAGGAGTGGATAAAAAGGAGGGTAGGTGAGGCCAGAAGGAGAAATAGGGCCAGACCACATGACAGACCCTGAAGCTATGATACATGAGTTTAGGGTTTTTTTGTTTTTTTTTTTTAAAGTTGTAATGGGACTCCATGGAAGAGTTTTAAATTGCTGCGTGACAAAGTTACTTCTTCCTAGAAGGCTGGAACCTTGCAACGGCTTTCTATACTCAGAACAAAGTCTAAGCTCTTTAAAATCGCCCGTAGAATTTCCCTTCTCCAATTGTGTTTCAGGGACAGTAAGCTGCTTTCACTTCTTCAAACTATGTACTTGTTGTTGTTGTTGTTGTTTTGCCTGCCTCTGGGCTTTTGACCTTGATGTTCCTTCTGCCAGAAAGACTCCCATTCTAGTTGGCACCTATTCATACTTGGCTTAAAAATCACCACCTTTTGGAAGTTTTTCCGGTATCCCAGGCTGAGGCGGGCGCTTCTTCTGGCACCCACAGCTTCCTATGCGCCAACCATTCCAGGTGTGACCGTTTTAGGTAGTAGTCTAATTATGTGTAGATCTTCCGTTGACCACAGCGCCACGAAGATGGGGCCAGATCTGTCCTATTCACTGCAAAAAAAAAAAAAAAGTGTTCACCAGCACACGCCTGGCACAGAAGAGATCAATAAATATTTATCCTGCTTGGAGGGGTGTAAAGATTGATAGAGATCATGGCCCTTGCCAACTGTCTTCGGATGTAAACTGATACCCAACTAAGACAAGATTTAGGCACTTGGCACTAGTCTGCAGTTCCTAAGCGCATGCGCTTTACTCAAGCCCCCCCCCATATGCTAATCACTGCGCTCGAGAGTACAGCCTCTCCCAGGCATATGCAAATCACTCCTTCCAGTGCCGGAGGCCCTCCTTTGTCCCGCGCTAGGATTATGTAAATGAGAAGGCCTCGGATCCAGGATCCCGGCCGAGGGGTCGCCCTCCACCCACAACGCATCCCATTTTCATAAAGCGCGTTCCAGCCACGCACACGCACGCGCGAGCCCTGGAGCTTCTCGATCCTTCAGGCCGCGGACTGTACCAAGTAAACGCGGGCAGTGAGGGGCAAAGCACGGCAACCCGTGCGCGGGTTCCCTCCGTGGCCCGACTCGGATAGCCCCTCTTCCCACAGTGCGACAGGAATGGTCCATCTGGCTGCGCAAGCGCCCTAGGCTCCTCACGCCCCTTGCTCTCCCTCCTACTCTGCTTGCAACGCAGGCGCAGAGTCTGGGCGTGCAGCCGCCACCGCCGAACCGGAGCTGGGGCCGCCAGCCCCGGTGAGTGTCCGCGGTCGGGGTGCGCGGGGCATGCTGGGAAGCGGGCGCTACGGCCCCGCTGCATGATGGGAGCGGCGGCAGCCGTCACCGAGGAGCCTGCAGCGGTCTTGAGCCGTGATGACCTGAGGGCAAGACCCGGACTCCTTTCCTTCCCCTACGCGGCTCCGCACGCTCCTGGGGCATCCTGGGAAAGCCAGCACTGCGTCTTAACAGCGTTGGAGTCGGTCTGCTGGTCGTTATAGGCCTGGTGTATCGTGGGAAGGATTACCCTAAATCCCTGTGGGGGTCCGGTCCCTTTTGTCCTGCGCCCTCTACTGAGCATCCTGGAAGTCGGCAGTGCTTCGGTGTAGGGCGTCTTGGAAGGTGGTCATTATAGGCCCGAAGCATCCTGGGAAGAATTGCCGCAGGGCATTGTGGGGACCGGTCCTTATTTTGTATAAGGTCCTTGCCTTACCATATGTGCCAGTGCGTTCCTGCTGTTTTCAGGCGGGCCATTCTGGGAATAGGTTGTTGTAGGCTCAGGGCATTGCTGGGTCCAGGTCACCGATTTTGCCTGTTGGTTGTGACGGAGCTTTATTTATACTCCTTTAAGATCTTGGGAGCCAATCTGACCACCATAGGTGTTGTGTGACTTAAGTGCTTAGTATTCCAGAGTATGGAATACTCCGAAAGGGCCTTGTGTGATGTGAGTTTGGGGAGGGGTGGGCTGGAATGGTGGGCGTTGTCTTCAGGTAACCTCTTTCGAGGTCCTGATTGTCCCTGTTGTACGGTTGCCAGATAGAATTAGAATGTCCAGTAAAATTTCAGGTAAATAACAATCTTAGAAAAGTACAAGGGTGCCACAGCCTGTGATCTGAGCTACTCAGAAGGCTGAGGCAGGAGGATTGCAAGTTCACAGCCAGCCTGGACAACTTAAAGAGACCCTGTGTCAAAAATAAATAAATAAATAAATGAAAAGGGCTCAGTGGCAGAGCATACCTGGGTTCAATCCCCATAACCCACTCACCTGTACCCCCCCAAAAGGAAGACAGAAAGATCATCCCAAATATTGCATGAATATACATATATTAAATAATTCTTATTTATCTGAAATTCACATTTAACTCGGTGTCCTGTTTTTACTTGCTAAATCTGTCATTTTTATCCAGGCATACTGTAGAATTTCCAAATTAGAATTTCCTATATATACTAGGGTATTATAAAAACTCTTCTTTGCCAATTTTTAATTCTCTCTATCCTTACAAACTCAGATCCAGATATCTTTGTGTCACTGGGGATTGAACCCAGGGGCTTTCTACTACTGAGCTTCATCCCCAGCCCTTTTAAAATTAATTTTGAGACAAGGTCTTTCTTAAGTTGCAAAGGCTAGCCTTGAACTTTTCATACTCTTGCCTCAGCCTCCTGAGTAGCCGGGATTATAGGCATGTGCTATTGTGCCCAGCTTCCAATTGTCTTCTTTAGGAAGTTCTCCTGCCAAGTTTCATCTTTTTCCAGGCTTCAGTGTGATCTTAAGTCCTCAGCAATGAACTTGACCTCTGGGCTTTGAAGACAGGTATTTTCCACCATTGTATCCCCAGTGCCTATCACAGGCTTTGTCATATAAGGGGATTTGCCAGCCCCTTCACTAACTGGCCCAGCATGGCTCTCCACCATTAGGGAGTGCAGTAGGAGAAACAGAAAGTACTATCTATGTTTTCAGGGGGGTCTTTTGGTAAAGAGGAAATAAAAGAGAAGGATTAGGAAAGTCTCCCTGGGAGAGGCAGAGTGTTTGGTCTGGGAAGAAGCGTAGAGGTTCCTGTGTTTGTAGTAGGCTTTGAAGGGTGAAAAGGAGATCTCCAGATCTACAGGGGCCAAAAAGGACATTCCAGAGGGCGCACCAAGACCTCAGATGTAATAAGACCTGGTGTGCACAGGGAGAGGTGAGGAGCCTGGGATGGCTGGAAGTTCATGGAGTTCCTGTCACATACCAGCAATTTGTGAGTCTACCAAATCTTCAAAAAAAAATCTCTTGAGCCATCAAAATCATTTTATGAGAGGTAGGATGACATAGCTTCAAATTCTAGTTTGACCACCTCCCAGATGTTGTGATCTTGGACTACTCATTTATCTTCTACCTCACCTTCCTCATCTGTACAAAGAAGATAATGTCTCAACATGGTTTGGAGGTTTGTGTAAGTCAAGGCCTAGATACCTCTTTCATATAGAGAAGGTAGTTAGGTCCTTTGCTTAAAGCTCCCTAGCTAAAGAGTGACAGATTTAGGATACTTACCTAAACACTTCTCTTGACACTTGATACACAACTAAGGCTGACATTCACAAACTGGTGCAACCATATCAATTGCTTAATTTTTTTAAAATGCATTTTTCCACTGAGCTACATTCCTAGTCCTTTTTATTTTATTTATTTTATTTTTTATTTTTTAATATTTTTTTTAGTTGTAGTTGGACACAATATCTTTATTTTATTTATTGTTATGTGGTGCTGAGGATCGAACCCAGCGCCTCACACCTGCTAGGCGAGTGCTCTACCACTGAGCCACAACCCCAGCCCCATTTTTAATTTTTTTATTTGAGACAGGATCTCATCAAAATGCTGAGAGTCTTGCTAAATTGCTGAGGCTGACCTTGATCTTGTAAACTCAGCCTTCTGAGTCACTGGGATTACAGGTGTGTGCCATGCTACCCATCTTCAGTTGTTTCAGTTTTGAAATACCAAGTACTCTGTATCCCTAACTACCACTTTGGATCCTCTTCCAGCCCTGGACCTCCCCACAATCCAGCTCCAAAAGGGTTTATGCCTGCCCCACTCTTTAATTCTGATTAGTGCGCCTATGCCAGTATCTACTGTTAAATATATGGAATGTCACCCTTCCTACCCCATTGACTAAGAACCACAAAACAATCTCATTGCCCGGATAAGGAAATTAAGGCCTCCAGAGGGTCAAGGGCTACAGCTGGGGCTCTGAAGACAGTCTGAGACAGAGCCTCACCCCAGCACTTAGCACACAGTGGGACTTGGAATGGGGACGAGCACTATGTAAAAATTTATTGAGTCACCACAGGCCTTTCCTTTTCCCTGTCCAGCATCCCTCTCTACCTGCCAACATCCTGTATTAGAAGAATTGGTGGCCGGAGGTGTGACTGAAGAGCTGGCCGGGAAGGGACACTGCCCAGCTGCTGCTCTTCTCCTGTCTCCCATCCCCTCCCCTGGCCATGACAGAGACTCGGGAGCCAGCTGAGACTGGGGGCTACGCCAGCTTAGAAGAAGATGATGAAGACCTCTCCCCAGGTGAGATGGCTTTAGTGGTGGGAGTATTGTCTTGACTATTGTCCTGGCCTAGGGTTTGGGCTCCACTGGGAAATTTTGATTGGGAGTGGTTCCTTGTCTTGCTATGCGTTCTGTCCTGACTGGAAGTTCTTTTCCTGCTAGGAGATCTGTTCGCACTGAGACTCTTAGAAGTTGTAGGTTGGCCAGGATCTTTCTTCCTCCTGGTGATTCTAGATTGGCTGTGATCTGACTCCTTGCTGGAAGTTCTAGATGGGCTAAGGTCTCTCTCCTTGCTGCCACTTCTAGAATGGCTGTGACTTCTTTCCTCACTGGGGGTTCTTGACCAATTGTGACCTCTTTCCTTTCTGAGGGTTCTAGAATGGTTCTGACTTTTCCTCCTCCTGTGGGTTCTAGACTGACTGTATCTTCTTCTATGTCTGGGAGTTCCCTTCCAGTTGTGACTTCTTGCCCTACTATGATTTGTCTTCCAACTGTGACTTCTCATCCTGCTGTGGGTCCTCCTCCAACTATGACTTCTCGTTTTTCTAGGGGTTTTAGATCCACTATGACTTTGGGTCCTGCTGGGGGTGCTGGACAGGCTGTGACTCCAGGTCCTGCTGTGGGTGCTAGAGAGGCTGTGACTTCTTGTCCTTCTGGGGTTGCTGGACTGGCTGTGATTTCGGGTCCTTCTGGGGGTGCTGGACTGGCTGTAATTTCGGGTCCTTCTGGGGGTGCTAGACTGGGTATACGTCTTGGTCCTCTTGGCCACTTCAGTTGGGCTGTAACTTGGTTCCCTCTTGGGGGCCGTCATCTGACTAGAACTCTTCACTCTCCTTGTTGGTGTTGGAGACTGGCTGTTGCCCTTCCCCTGAAAGGGTGTTCTAGTTGGGCTGTAACTCTTTGAGCGGCTGGGGGTTACAGGCAACCTGGAACTGCTCCCCACACCTAAGGCTTCTCGTGGGCCATAACTCTTTTTCCTGCTCATATTTTTAAGCTGGCTGTCGCTCTTTTCCTGGGTGTTGGTTCTAAGCCGGCTATAACTCTTGTCCCGACTCCATTTTGGATGGGAAGTAGGAGTTCTCACCCTTTTAGCTAAGCCTGATTTGGTACCATGAGTTCTCATCCTGCTAGGAGTGCTGGCCCTGCTGGGTGACCTCGTAGAGCTGCGACTGCTCCTTCTGCCAGGTGTGCGGCCCCGGCTGTGCGTGCCTTTCTGATGATGGTGTTTTGTGTTGCTGGTCTTGCTGCCTTTGCTGGTCCTTGTGTCAGTGCTTGCCCTACTGGGCGTTCTTACTTTATTGCGGACTTGGGACTTGCTACGGGACTGGTTAGAAGTGGCCGACTTTGTACTTGTTGATTTGGTGGACTTGGAACTACTTGGGCTCATGACTGAGTTGGGGGATGTTGATGGCTTGGGGGCTACTGAGGAGGTGTTGGGCATTGCTGATTTGGTGACCTTCAAGGAGGCAGGAGATATGGGAGCCGTATCTGGCATGGAGGATCCAGTAGAAGCCACAGACGTGCTGGGCTTTGAGGATCTCTTAGGTGAAGGCATGATGGGTGCAAAAGGGCTTGTGGTCCTAGAAGTCATGGTGGACATGCAAGACCTGGTAGCCATGGATAGTGACCTGATTGCCTGTCATGGGCCCACTGTGTGAAGTCATAGTGGGCACTGAAGCATCTGGAGGATGGACAGTGTGAAGTCAGGCGTGAGAGAGCAGGAGGGACCCTGGTCCAAAGTTGGAGATATTGCCACCGTTTTGTAGCTATTCAGCAAATGTCTCAGAGACAGACATGCTCAGCATTGCTGGAGACACGGAGGGGTTGGTGATAGCCCTAGCCCTTCCTCGAAGAGTCTTCAGCCTCCAGACCTGCTCAGTCACTGCCCAAGGTGGTCAGAGTGTGATAGGGGTCCAGTGGTTGAAGGAATCCAGTGAACAAACATCAACCACTGGGGGCTGGGTGAACTTTGCAGAGGAGGTAGCATGTGAGCTGGGCCTTGAAGAGGAGCAGTTATTGTCCACAGAGTAGGATAGGGTCCCCTAGGGAGGGAGGTCAGAGCTCGGGCCACTGTCAGCCATTGACCTGCACGTCCTCTGCTAGACAGTGGTGGGACCTGAGGTCAGAACTGCCCTTGAGGGGTTCTCAGTCTGATGGGGGAGACATATGAGGTTCTGGAAGCTACACTCTAAGGACAGTTATGGGGGACCTGGGACCTTAGGTGGGGTAGCCAGGGCAGAGTGAGTTTGGGAGAGACCCCTGGATGGTAGCTGGGGGAATCAGGGTAATGGCTTCAGGGAGAACAGCCCATGCTGGGTCCTGAAAATGACTAGGTGACCAGGTGGAAAGAGTCGGGGACAGCATTCCAGGCACAGGGATCAGTACACATCAAGGCCTCAGGAAACGTTTGGTAAACAGCAGGATGTAGCAGGATGGGGCACGAGCAGCCAGAGCTGTGGGAGGCTGTTCAGCAGGTATTCGTAACCTGTTCTGGGCTGGTGAGGACAGGGACCCAGCAGTGAGCCACACAGGACTGTCCCTGGTCTGGTGGGGATGGAACCTGGACACAAATGCATAGCCCTTTGGGCTCAGAGCTGGGGACAGCTGGGACAGCAGAAGCACAGTAGAAATGGTGATTAGCTGCCTGGGGTGAGGAAGTCTGGGATAGTGTCACCAAAGAAGGAGCCTCCTCCTGGGTCCTCACTGGAATCTAGGGCAGGATATTCACAGCCGAGGGAAGAGCCATGTTTCAGAAGAGGCCTGGAAGATGGATGCAAAGGTCTCCGTTCCACAAACACGCAGGCACTAAAACGCTAGATGTCACGCCTCACGGTGAGCCTCGGTCTCTGCTCTCAGGAACAGACGGTGCACACCCCACAGGCATGTGCTGTGAGCAGTGAGACGGATATGAAAGAAAAGTGGAGTAAGGGGCAGAGGGAGGGCTGGGGAGGACTGCTGGTACACAGGGTAAGTGACTAGGGAGTTCCTGAGAAGGTGACAGTGGAGCAGAGTTGAGGAGAAGAGGGAGTGAGTGTGGTCTACAGCGAAGGCTCTGAGGTGGGTTCATTCCGGGGGTGTTGAGAGATAGCCAGGAGCCCACTGTGGCTGGAGAGGACAGAAAAGGAGGTCAGAGAGGTGCCAGAAGGCCTGTGGCCACTGTTCTGTTGCGGGCAGAGCACAGGTGCCCTGGCCAGCTCCGAGGAAGTAGGGTCCTCCGGCGGTGGATGAGGGTAAGGTTGGTGCCGCCCCCGAGAGTCCTTGGGCAGGGCCCTCCCTGGCAGCTGAGGAAGAAGCCACTGTTTCCCTGTCATCGTGGGGTTTGCTCTGCATGTGCACCCCCAGACCACCTGCTGATAACACCCTTTCCTGTATGTCAACTTCAAAATGTCCCCTTTTCTTAAACCTAAACTTGTCCTAGGTATGTCCTTCCTACCCACGAAATCACCGTAATGTATCTATACTTAGAAAAAAATGTATCTCCTCCACATGACCACATACATCCACATACATGCTTATGTGTGTATGGTTTCTTCCGCAAATGATGTTATGTGTGTTTTAATTTGTTTAACTCCCTGTTCAAATGCGGTGGGTGTTGGCCAGCACCTATGTAGCTCTCTGTGTCAGCCGAGCGGAGTCCTGCTGCTCTGTGCCTCACTTTCCACATTTATCAGGTGGAGTAACAGTGGTACCCTCCTTCCAAGGGTTGCTTTAAGCTTTGCCGTGTGTGTGTGTGTGTGTGTGTGTGTGTGTGTAGATAAATAAAGAGCAGGACTTTTAAAATAGCAGTGAATGCTTTATTGTTGCCGCTAACCCCACTCCACCCCAGACGCGGTTCTTGCTAGACATTCATTCTCTGGACACACAGATATGGAGCATCTACTGTGTGCCAGGCCCAATTCTGTGCCCCGAGGCCCCATCTGTGGAGAAGGAAGATCATGCCGGGCTGCCCTCTCCATCCTACAGGTCTGAATGGGGGCAGTTGGGCTTAGCCCTCTGTCCTCTGACACCACTCTCTCCCCTCGTCTGTCCTGACAGGCCCTGAGCATTCCTCTGACTCCGAATATACTCTCTCAGAGCCGGATTCTGAAGAAGAAGAAGATGAGGAGGAGGAGGAGGAGGAGACCACTGATGATCCCGAATATGACCCGGGCTACAAGGTGAAGCAGCGCCTTGGGGGAGGCCGGGGAGGCCCGTCTCGCCGGGCCCCCCGTGCAGCCCAACCCCCAGGTCCCCCAGCCCAGCCTTGCCAGCTCTGTGGCCGCTCACCGCTTGGGGAGGTCCCACCGGGCACCCCACCTTGCCGGCTCTGCTGCCCTGCTACAGCTCCCCAGGAAGCACCAGCCCCTGAAGGGAGGGCCCTCAGGGAGGAAGAGGAGGAGCCACCCCGAGCTGGGGAGGGACGGCCAGCTGGGCGGGGGGAGGAGGACGATGAGGAGGAGGAGGGCACTTACCACTGTACAGAGTGCGAGGACTCCTTTGACAACCTCGGCGAGCTCCACGGCCACTTCATGCTGCATGCCCGGGGTGAGGTGTAGGCAGAGCCCCCCACCCAGGGAGCTGGGCAGAGGGGTGGGGTGGGAGGAGGGGGCTGAGGAAGCCAGCGTGGTCATGGGGAGTGGGGTACCGCTGATCTGTGTTGTCTTAGTAGTAGACATGTGAAGGCCGGAATAAAAGGCAAATTCTGTGTGTGCTGGCCTAGCATGTGTTTGGTGGGGGGTGCGTGTGTGTGAGATATATGATACACACCTGGGCCTTTATCCCCACCCCCACCCCAGGCTTCTCCTTATGGCACCTCAGGGTCACCGTGGCCAGGATGACTCTCCATTTCCTAACGGCTGGCCATCTGTGTGGTTCATGTATTTACTCGTAGACTCCAGGATGAAGAGGCTCCAACACAACAGAATTTTGTTTCTCACTCATTTAATAGTCTCAGGTGGGTGATTTGGTAACCAGGCTCCCCCTTAAGACTATCATCACCCACACAGGGTGGGTGGCCACACTTGGGCCCCACTGGTGGGGGAGGACAGGGAGCCTGGAAGTTCTTCTGCGAGCCCTGGCCTGCCTTAACCAAGGAGCCAACTGCAAAGCAACCTGGGAAAGGCAGTCTAGTTCAGGCCCCAGAAAGTAGGATATGGTTTGTGGGGGACAGCTAGTGTCACATTGCCTGAGTACCTCACAAAGAGGACTGCCATCAGAATCATACAAGGCTTTGCAAGCATTTCCTGAGAGTCTCGTTCTGGGCCAACGGCTTAATGTATATGGACTCAGAAATTATGCATCTAGGAACTTACAAAAATAGAAACTTCATGATAATTGTAGCTCCCATCTTCCCAAGACTTGAACAGCGCTGTACTTTATTTGCATGAGATCATCTGGTTCTTGAAATAACTTTGTCAAGTAGGGATTGTAATGCATTTCATTTAACAAATAATTTTTGATCACCTGCTGTGTGCTAAGCATTGAGAATGCACCAGTGAATAAGATCCTTGTCTTCGTGGAGTTGATGTGGGGTGAGTATGGGCTGCCACTGGAGACAGACAGAAAACAAATGAGATACAGCAAACGCTGGATGGTGGTAAATGCTGTAGAGAAAATAAAGGAGAGGGAGAGAGGGGAGAACAGTTCTGGAAGGGGTTGCCCTTTTAAGTAGCATAGTCTTCCCTGAGAAGGTGACCAAGACCTGAAGGAAGGAGGGAGGGAGCCGTGCTTGTAGGTGGAGGAGAGAGATGCAGTTGAGTGGAGTAGGAGCCCACCTGGGATGTCAGGGAGACCTGAGTGACAGCAAGGGAGGGAGGAGGGCTGAGCTGAAGGATCAGTGAGGGTCAGAGGGTAGCAGAGGGCTGGCTCATTGCAGCCTTGGTGAAACCTGGGCTCTCTGGTATGGGAAGTACTAATTGGCAGAGGATTGGCACCAAAGCTGCTTTGAAAAATAGACACCTAATCATGATAGTTACCGTTTACTGAACATTTATATGTGCCAAGCCGTGTTCTCTGGTGCTTTACATGGGTTCGCTCATAGAAGCCTGGCAACTAAGAACCTCCAAGAATAGGACCTGAATTACCATAATGGCATCATTAAGTCAACACTGCCAGCGGACCAGGCCCTGGGCTAAGTGCTTTATGTGAACAAATACCTGGGATCCTTAGGAGGTAGGGACTGTTGTGGTTTTTTCTCATTCATTCAGCAGTGCTTTATCAAGTACTTGTGAGAGGCAGGCACTGTTCTGGGAGCTAGGAATGCCGCAGCAAACAGAAAAAAAACCTCTGCCTTCACGGAGGTTACGTTACAGTGGGGAAGACAGTAAGCAGATGATTAAGTAAAATATACAAAATGTGTAGAAGGCAGAAGAAATAGGAAGTGCAGTGGGAAGCTGGTGTGTGTGAAGGTTGTAGTGTTCAACATGGTGGTCAGGGACCACTGAGGTCAAGTACCTGAGAAGGTGACATCAAATCAGGACCTGGACAAGGGAAAGGAGTGAGCCACTGGGCTGTCTGGGGAAACACTGAGTGCAAGAGTCTGGGGGGCCTGCTTGGGATGTGTGAGGAAGTGCACGAGGCGCCATGAGCTCTGGGAGCAAGGGGAGGACTGGTAGGAGGTGGGGCAGCACAGCAGAGGGCTGTGCCATGTCGGCCGTGGCACCTTGGCTTCCTCTGAGTCCTCGTAGTAACATAGGGGCAATTTTCATGACCATTTTATAGCTGCTGTAGCAGGAATGTACAGCCATTGAGTTACCTGCTAGAAGTCACACAGCCAGTGAGAAGCAGAGCTCAGGTTTTAACCCAGACAACCTGGTGCAGGGCATAGGTTCCACTACTGAGCTGCACACCACTGTGGCTGCCCACAGCTAGTCAGGCTGACTTGAAAGGATGTAGCTGTCTCTACTGAGGGCTTATTTTTTGCAGTGTTGAGGATTCAAACTAGGGGCAATTTACTACTGAGCTACAATCCCAATTATTTATGTTTTATTTTTTATTTTGAGATGGTCCTCCTAAGTTGCCGAGGCCAGCCTGGGACTTGTGATTCTCCTGCCTCAGCCTCCTCAATAGCTGGGATTACTGTCACACGCCACCATGTCTGGCTAGCTACTGAAGTTTTTAAGATCACATTGATTACCAACATTGAAAATTGGGAAATTTCACATAAAAATGGAAGTTTCTGCCTTCTTGAAAAATTATGAGAGTGGGACTCCCTCCCATGAGGCAGTAGTTTGATATACTGACTGGGGGCCACCTCCTATGGGAGAGGCATTCATTCTGGGGTGCCCCATGCCTGACCTGCCTGGCACAGAACACATTTGATACCTGTTGTAGGATCTTGGACCAAAGTGTCTTTCAAAACCCACACTTCTCATCCAAGTCACAGAACCTGACATCTAATCTTTGAAATGGAACTTCTATAACCTTTGTCACTGATCATCACAGAATTTGAGGCGTCAAGGCATAAATTCACAGCTGGTAAAAACAAGATGTTTTATTGTAACAAAATACCTGAGACTGGGTGCCTTATAAAGATTAAAAATGCATTTCTCACAGTTCTGGAGACTAAGTACCATCATCGTCAGTGGCTGGCGAGGGCTGCTCTCTTCTTCCAAGATGGTGCCTTCTTGATGTGTCACGGTGGAAGAGATTGAAGGGCCTAGCTAGTTCCCTGGAGCTCTTTTAAGGTCACTTAATCCCATTCCTGACAGCAGACATCACTGGCAGCAAAGGAATGTGTGAAATAGTTTCCAGAAAGCCCCAGCATCATGGAGGCTTAGTGAATGAGTATTTTCTTTCTTTTTTTTTAAATATTTATTTTTAGTTTTTTTTTCAGGTAGACACAATATCTTAATTCTTTATTTATTTTTATGTGGTGCTGAGAATCGAACCCAGTGCCTCACACATGCTAGGGGAGCATGCTACCATTGAGCCACATCCCCAGCCCCATGAATGAGTATTTCCAAGACTCCACCCTAAGCTCCATCTTGGGCATAGGATGAAGCAGTGGGGGTCTGAGATATGACATTTCCTGCTCTCAGGAGCTGTTAGAGTGTAAAAAGACAAATAATCACATCAACCAAAGGGTGTTGATTTCAGCTGCTAAAGAGTGCTCTGCAGAAAATAAGTCAGAAGAAGGGGTGGGAGTGACTCCTAATTAGGCAGGCTGAGGGGGACTTCTCTTAGGAGGTGGCTGTGTTGAGACCTGACTGATGGGGAGTCAGCTTTGCAAAGTTCTGATGTAAGAGCACTCCAAAGGAAATAGCAAGTGCCAAGGCCCTGAGGCAGAAGCAGTCTGGCATGTGCAGCTTGAACAAGAGGAAGGGATTTTATTGCTTTCTGGGCTGGAACTCAGTCATAATCAGGTTTTGTGGGCTTGTCTTCAAATATTACTTATGGGGTGCTGTAGGGTTATAAGAGCAGAGTGATGTAAGCTGACTTTACACACAGGGTAGTCTATAGTAGAGGCTGGAGGGGGGAGTGGTAGCAAGGGGAGCAGTTAGGAGACTCAAGAACTTAAGAGTCATGCAGGCAGTTGTGCAAGAGGCCAGAGACTGTAAGAGTCATGTTGACCCATTTTGAGATTCATTGTCCAGGTGACTATACCACATGCCTGGGGTTTGGGCTGTAGATGAACATTTGGAAGCCAACAGTGATGCTATGTAGAGTCTTAGGAATCTATGGCATCTGAGAAATGTGGAGAGAACAGGAAACCCAAAGGGTAATTGAGGCCACTATTTATAGTGGGAGAACATGTGGCCCTTATTTGGGATTAGGGGAGCCACTATGGGAGTAATGTGAAAATATCTGAACTGGAAACACCTAGGCTTTCACCGTTGCCAAATGGAATATTTGGCTTTGGTCAAGTTGATATCTTGGGAGAAAAGAAGTGTGATAGTCAACTAACTATAAACCTGTTTCCCCATAAGTCACCTCAGCAAAGAGTTCCAGGATAGACCTGTCTCAAATCCTATGCACATGCGCGTGCACACACACACACCAGGTAGGACTAGTATTTCCCAGGATGGGAATCTGTGATTCCAGACTCAGAGTAGGTTTGAAGAGAGGGAGTCCAACAGGAGTCTTCAGTTAAATAAGGGGTTCACAAACTTTTATGCTAAAGGGACAAATGGATTTGTGGACCATGAGGCTCTGCTGCAACTACTCAAATCTGCCATTCAATGTGAAAACAGCCATAGGAAAAAAAAAAAAAAGAAAGAAAAGAAAAAGGCCAAGTACGTTCCAATAAAACTTTATTTGTAAAACTCAGCAGCAGCTGGCTTGATTTTGCCATAGTTTGCAGGCTCCTGCCTTGGGCTTGAAATTCTGCTGCCTAAAACAAGAGACCCAAAATGATGGTGGCTTAAACAAGATACAGTTGCTTCTCTTACATGTTATCAGAATGGTGGCTGGTATGGTGACATCCTGTGAGGTTGGCCAGAGACCCAGGCTCCTGCTGTGTTGTTGCTCTGCCGTCCCATATACTGCTCTTGTACTCACAGTCCAAGGTGGCTGGGCACCGTGTCCACATTCCAATTAGAGGAAGGACATGTACCTTTTTCAGGCCTGACTATTTTACCTAGGAGTTTAGCCAGAACTCAGCCACATGACCACATTTAGCTTCAGGGGAGTCTGGGATGTGTGGTCTTGTGCTCCCATATGCGTAACTAAAAATTGAGAGAGCTATCAATTTCTCCCATAACCACCTCACCTGTGGATTTAAAAAACATCCCTCAATTCAAATACAGCCTGAGCAATGAATGCAGAGCATCAGCTATTGTCTCCAGAGGCAGGGCAGGCATTGTTAAGGACTAAAATGGGCCTGGAAGGACTTATCTCCGGCTGAGGGCGACACTCACCGCTTAGCTGCAGCTTGTAGCTTTTGCCCTGCTGACAGTGTAAGTCCTGGTCTTTTCAAGAGAACTGAAAATAGGATCTTAATGGGAAATCTCCCAGTGTTGGCCAAATGAAACATGAAGCAGAAGGTATCTCTGTTTGACTCCAAACTAGTTTCCCTACAGGACTAGGCCAACTCTGCCCTGAGCTCCCTCCTCCCCACATCCTTATGTTCTCTAGCAATTCCCACTCAAAAGCCAGAGCTCCCTGTTTAGACATTTTAATATGGATGTTTAGTTTTTAGATACTATTCCTGTTAGCTTATTCATGCCATCTCCCCTACACATATATTAAAAAAAAATCCCATTCCTAGAATGGTACACAAAATTATTTAAATAGGGCATGATGCTCTTGTGTCATCCAATGCCATGGCTGCTCTCTGAGTGGGGAGGGCTGGCAGACAGGGAGGAGACAGGACCTAAACTGCAATGCCTTTTGACTTGGGGTCTGGCTCCCACCTTGCTGCCCCATCCCCAAATACCCAGGTTGCTCCAGGTCTGGAACGCACACAGTCTCATTACAGGATAGCAGCACCGCCCTTCCCTGCCCCCTACTCAGGCACAGATCCAGGGCAATTTGCTCCTGCAGCCCATGGCACCCATCTGGGAAACATTAAAGGTGATTACACAATCTGCAGCTAGTTATTTAACTGGGAATGAGGGAGAATAATTTTTCCTTCTCTATTGTGCATTTTTTTCTTCTTTTTTTTTTTTCCTTGCTCATTTTCTTAAAAAGATCTCACTGTTTGCTGATTTCACTGTTTCCCTAAAGGACCTATGTCCGCTAAAGACTGAAAGTCTAAATGACAACCTTCTGGGTCCTATTTGTCCAGAGCCTTTTTGCCTTCCCAGGGTGGGAAGCAAATCCCTTCAGAGCCCCCAGAAGACCTGTGCCCTTATCATGGGTGGGTCCCACCAACCAGAGTGCGCGTCTTAAGCACTGTTGAGGGCTTACGCTGTACTCAGAGCTCCCCCCGAGCATGTCGAATATAGTGTTGATGGAGCCCTGCTTCCTGGGCAAAGTCCTGACCACACTCTGTACAAGCAAAGGGACCAGGGTGGGTGTGGGCCTCATGCACCAGGCGGTGCCGCCTCAGAGAAGCAGCCTGCCCAAAGGTCTTGCCACAGTCAGGACAAGGGAAGGTGGCCTGGGCTGTGGTGGGTGCACCTGGCGAGGAGGGCCTGGCTGCTGGACCATGGCTGCGCTGGTGGATGATCAGGGCCTTGGAGGAGGGGAAGGAGCGGGCGCAGGTGAAGCAGATGAAGAGAGCCCCCTGCAGTTTCTGGGCCACGAAGTCCGCTGGGTGCTCCCGCTTCATGTGACGCTCCTGGAACTTGGAATCGGCGAAGGTGATGAGGCAGCGGGTGCACTGCGGGGCCCCTAGGTGGCCTAAGGGATGTGGGGAGAGGTCGGGGAAGGCCAACAGGAGTATCCAGGACCTCTCCCAAGCCCCAGAATTATGCCAGCAACTACCACTGAATGCTATATGTGCTAGGAATGAGTTAAATGTTTGCAGTTATTATTCCTAAGACAGAGAAAAGCGCCTGATATCTAGAAGCTGACCTGACATGGCAAGGCCTTGGTGTTCTACTGGTGTTGTACAAGCAAGCGCAGAACTGTTAAAAACCCATTTTATGGGTGAGCAGACACAAGGCTCAATAGGTCAGCAAGTTACCCACAATCACAAAGCTAGAAAACGAAAAGGTAGGGCCAGGGAATCTGCCTATCTGACACAACATGTGGTGGCTAGAGTAGTGCCTGGGATTGGACCCCAGCTCCACCACTTCCTAGGCAAGTACAACAGTTTGCTCACCTGGAAAATGAGGTAATAACAGCATCTTTTTTTAGGATTTTTGGAAGGAACTAGTTCATTTATATAGTGCTGCTTTAAACAATGTTTGCAGTTATTACTCCCAAGACAGAGAAAGGCGCCTGATATCTGGGAGCTGACCTGACATGGCAAGGCCTTGGTGTTCCTCTGAACACCATTCCACAGAATCACAGTGACAGACAAGGTGTTGCCGCGACTGGGATGAGTCAAGACAAGACCACACCATAATAATATCTGGATACAAACAAAACGTGAACATTGTCTAAGCCATGACCAGCCACCCCTCTATTCTTGCTAATGTGAGTGATCACAGCTGCTTTATCAATCACAACTTGACCTCATATTTTTTCTCCTCCTAGATAAGGTTAAGAGAGCCAGTGAGAGCTGTTCCTACTTCCTGGAAGTATCTAATCCCTAGCAAAAGCCCCTTTCTTTGACCCATTCCCAAATCATCACATGTAAGCTACATTATTTTTTTGTACTGGGGATTAAACCCAGAGGCACTTAAAACCACTAAGCCAGATCCCCAGGTTTTTTGCTTGTTTGTTTGGGGCTTTTGTTTTGTTTGAGACAGGATTTCATTAAATTGCTTAGGTCCTCACTGAGTTGCTGAGACTGGCTTTGAACATATCCTCCTGCCTCAGCCTCCCAAGTCACTGGGATTACAGGCATGTGACATTGTACCCAGCTCCCTATAAATCCGTTTTAAAAACACATCCTGATATACTCTAGTTTCCCCATGATATGTGAACAATAAACCCAATTTGTTCAAACAAGACAGATGTGTTGCTGGTGATCTAGCTAGACTGCACTGATACTACGGCTCTT